AAATGTCCACCTTTTTCCTCAACTGAGGATTCCCTGTCACTGTGGTTGATAGGGGCCTTAGCTGTGTCTGACCCATTTCCCACATTTTTGCCCTCACCCCCTTCTCTCCCACAAAACATAATCCTCAATTTCCAACCCCGAGCATCTGCATCCAAAGGATCACAAGGTGCCGTTTCCACCACTTTCAGCAGGATCCCACCACCACATTCAGTTTTCCTCTCCTCACTTATCAGCATTTTGTAGGGACCATTCCTTCTGGGACACTGGAGGACAAATGGACTACGATCTCAACACCTCCCCAACTTCCATGGCACCTTCCCATGCCATTGCAAAAGATGCAACACCCACCTATTTATCTCCTCCCTCTCCAATGTTCCAGACACTCCTTCCAGGCGAAACACCAGTTTGTCTGCACTACAATCTAGTCTTCTGTATTCACTGCTCACAGTGTCACAGTCTTTGGACCGGGAAATAAATCTCAAACTGGATGACTGTTTTGCAGTACACTTACGTTCTGTCCATAAAAATGATCTTGAGCTTCTAGTTGTCTGCTACTTCAACACATTAGCATGCTACCTGACCGCTATTTATGTCTCGGGCCTGCTGTATTGCTCCAGCAAGGCTTAGCACAAGCTTGAAGAACAGCATCTGCCTTCTGCTTGGGGTATCCTGCAGCGTTCAGGACTCAATATTGCATTCAATAATTTTTGAACCTTATATTTCCTTATGTGCTTTACCCAGCCCCACAGCCCAGCCCTGTCATGACATGGGCTGCTTTTAATACGTCCATCTTATTTTCACCTACTCATTATCAGCTTTTCTTCCCTGTCTTGTAATCAACCATTCCTTTGTATGTTTAAGTTTCTTTTTGTCAGTTTGGGCTATGTCTCCATCTAACTACTCACTCCTTTCCCCTTATGTACCTGTTGTTATCAAAATAAATAGCACCTTTTTGTAGCTACGATCAATTCTGAAGAAGCTCTGGACTCAAAACATTAACTATACATTGTCAGTATAAATACTGCCAGACCTGCTGAGTTTCTCCAGCAGTTTCTGAGTTTTAAACAAAAACCGAAAGAACTGCAGATGCTGTAAATCAGGAACAAAAACCGAAGTTGCTGGAAAAGCTCAGCAGGTCTGGTAGCATCTCTGAAGAAAAAGTCAGAGTTAACATTTCTGGTCCGGTGACCCTTCCTCGGAACTTTGTCAGTGAGGGAGCAAACCGGAGCACCCGCACGAAACCCACGCAGACGTGGGGAAATGTGCAAACTCCATGTAGACCATTGCCTGGCGGTGGAATCAAACCCAGGTCCCTGGCGCTGTGAGGCAACGGTGCTAATCACTGAGCCACCATGCAACAGCTTCCAGTTGACGTGAGGGATCATGAACAGGACTTGTTCTTTTCCCATAGAGAAGTAACTGAGCATTGTTCTTTATGGTACAAATTGAGTTTTAGCTTTTTAACTAAATATCATAGCCATGTTTCAGTCACCAGAGTCCCTGTGAACGTAGCTATGGTGGATTGGGTAGTATATGTACCTAATTAAATGTCAGAAACTTAGCTTTTCACACATTGAATCTTGTGTTGTGTTTTCAATTTGTCCGTAAATGTAACATTTGATTTTTACTGTTATCTCAAATGAAATGTGGTTTTCAAAAGTCCTATAAAAAGACAATATGGGTTGCATTTCATATTTATTCTGGCTGCTGTTTTGACCTGGCTGAATATACACCTGGATTAGTTGTATTATAGAAGATTATTCCTTGAATGTGATAGTTACACGTGCAGATTTTCAATTACTAGATGACTGTCTATTTCCAAGATCTCTCTAAGACTTGGAGGTTCACTTATCTTTCCTCTGGTTTATTTATAGTCTTTGTTTCTCTCTCTCTTTCTTTGTAATTTGTATATGCATATGCCTTGTCTACATGTATAACTGTACAATTTGAACCATTGATGCAGCATCCACGTCTTGCCTTGGAACAGCCATATTTTTGCTTAATGTACGCGTATCTACATTGTGATGATTTTTATACCAGTCTACTAGAGATGAGATGCAGTTGGAGTAAAAAGTGGCTGTGTGTATATATAACCTTTTTATCTCTGCCACATGCTAGTCTAATCCAGTCACCCAGAAACTGGTTCAACTGTTTGACCTTGCAGGCTACAAATAAGACTGTTTGCTGTTTAGCTCCATGACAGTCCATGTATTGGGTACTCTTCTTCCAGTGATGCACTTCCTGAACTACCAGCAGTTTTTTATTATTGACATTTTTTTAATCAGCCTGTTCAGAGACGTTATTACACACCTCTGGAGCAGGTGGGACTAGAACTCAGGCGTGTTAGGTCCGGGATAGGAACACTACCACTGAGCCACAAGAGGGCCCTGATACCAAAAATTTTGCTCTTGGGTGGTTTTGAACCACCAACCTTTTCATTGACAGCCAAATGCCCTGACCAGTTGCAGCACAGGGACTGGCAAGAAACCCTTTTTTGAGATATAATGACATTAGAAACACCTGGATAACAACTGAGGTCTTTGTTTGATGGCATTGTCTTGAATCCTTGGTGTGGTGCAAAGAACAAATTAATTTGCGCTTATACAGCATCTCTTACATTTTCAGAATGTTCTAATAGCTGTATTGGAAATCAATCCTGTTGTGTAATAAGAGCAGATCCATTTTTCTGCGTGAAAATCCTACCCATGGTATGTGATAAATAACCAGTTTTTGAGGGTTTGGTTTTGATACTTGAAGAATATTTCCATCTCATTAACGGTAATGAAGAAACAAATGATCAAGTGACAAGAGAATTTGCAACCATATCAGAACTTTTGCTTTGGGTAAAATCAGGATTAATGAAATCATTCACCCGCATACTACAGAATTCCAGTTGTGTTAATTTACACTTGATACTTGTTAGATATTGGTAATGCGAAAACAGGTAACACTTGGATATTCGTTACCTGTCCCTAGTCTTTACACACAAACAATACTATGCGAGAAAAGCAAACTTTTGTACCTTTGTTTGAGTGTTTCTCCCCTTGGTTAGACCCTTATTGATTTTTCTTCAGTCTTTTTAAAATTATTTTTAGTTTGGAGCTGTGAACTGTAAGCTATACATCAACTTTGAACTGTGAGCACCAGCTTGCTTTTTCCTGAAAAAGAACAAACTGATGTTTGTTTGAGGCCAGATTTGAAAGTCAGTTGCAGGTTGTTTCTTAAAAGGTGTTCTGTAGACTCTTGGACTCCAGATGGCAGGCGTTGAATGTTAGCTGTGACCTCTTAGGGAGACAGTCAGTTTGGCAGAGAGAGCCCAGAGTTTTAACTGGTTTTTGGACTGTTTGGGTCATAAGGATTGTGCTGCAGGATGGAGGATTGATTGCTCTCCATGGTTGTCCTCTCATTAACAACTTATTGAAGGTTCAGAGAATGCAGTCTGTCATCAGAATTAATATTCCTTGGAGCCAACTGGAATCTGTCTGCATGCATCACTGTTGTCAGAAGCTAAGCAAGATATAATCCCATATATGATATTACGTATCATGGAGTCTGCTTAAGTGACCAGGCCAGTTATATCTAAGTTATTTCTTTTTTTCTTTTGATTTATGCCTTAACTGTCTGTCTGTCTTTGTATGAGAATAGGGCTAGAGTTAAAAAGGATTGGGTTTAACTCCTGAACATTGATTTGATTGCCTTGTGGTTTAATTTTGCTCTGCTAATGCCACTGTATTATTAATAAGTTGTTGAATAAACGTAGTGTCTGGTATCAGTTATTCACAAAGTCTGGGACGAGGCATTCAGAAGGTCTGGTTAGGAATCTTTGAGGTCAATTTTGAGGGTTATTGCATATTTTAATTTTCTTGAGTTGTGACTTCAGGTATTGGGAGACTAATTTGGCCGTCTGTGTTGAAACATCTTGGAGATTGCCATCAAGAATAAAAGTCAGTTTTATAATGCCATCTATCAGTTGGGTTGTTGAATTTTGTGGCTCTCTTAGACCAGTTCAATTTTTCGTGCAAATGTAACTGTTAATTATTTGTGAATTGCTGAGAAGGAAGACATGTTTCCGAAGCTTTTCATGAGGACAAACCCAAGAATTCAAACCATCACAGTTTGTATTACTGTAAGAAACCAGGATTCTGATTGGCATGTTGATTCCAGTTGGTCAAGGCATTGCTGTGGAGAAAGGAACGGAACTATAGGCTCTCCGTGCTTCTGGGTAGTTCAAAATAGGCACAAGCCTTGAACTGATCTTTTTGTTGACAGAGAATGGATCCGTGTATATGAATGTATTCTCCTCTCACAAATGTAACTGGTTATCTTAGGTTGATTGTTAATGTAGTTATTTGTGCAATCTGTAACAATGCTTCAGTCGAGCAGAGCTGACTTTTAAATGAAATAGCACCTCTTTTCACCTGTAATATAAATTATATCATTTGAATTTTGGAAACTTATGCAAAATGAAAAGTTTTGTCGACGTGTCTATCTTTTACTTAATATTTAGACGTTTCAGACTATGTATTGATTGCATCTTTAACATTAGTGGTAGACTTAATTTGTGGTTTTGTAATAGTTGAGATAATTGTTGTAATAGTTGTTCATGTTGATAAGACTTAAAAACTGTCTGAAGAGTTTCATAACATGGTAGGTAGTTGGGAATGTTGATAAAATTGCCCTGATCATTTTTTTTATTGTTCTCTAGCTAGATTTTGCCAGGTAGGTTAAATGGCATTCTTTGTATTGAAATGAAATGGACCCAAGCAGTTTGTTGTTTTCACCTGGTTAAGATGTTTGGTATGGCATTTTGTGGTGCACGTGCACAGGAGGATAATGTCAAGATTCTTTTGTTGTAATGCTTCAGTTTCTAATTCTGTATTGTTTGGCGTTATTCAATTTAGGAATTAAAAATGTACAAATATTTATTTCAATTTTCAGATGATGTAATATTTAAATTTTTTTTAAGTGAGGCAATCTTTTTCTTTCCCCTCCAAAATCAGGAGTGAGGCATCAGAATGGCAGAACTATTCATGGAATGTGAAGAAGAAGAACTGGAGCCTTGGCAAAAAGGGAAGAAAGATGATGAAGATGATGATGATGATGAGCCCATTTTTGTCGGAGAGATAACAAGCTCCAAAAGCTCCATTTACCCAAGTATGATACATTTTTTGTTTCTTCAAGATTAGTTTGGAATCTGAGGCAGTACAGTTCTTTTCAGTACAAATAAGTTATTTGCCATAACTGGATGTTTTATGGAATTGAACATTACTTTCTGTTGCGGGGTGAATGATTGTTCACTCAAATGAATGAATATTTAAGCTGATTTGAATCCAATTCATTCTAAAATTGAAATCTTACACGTCAACCATTTTGTACTGGAATGGTACACAAGTAGAATGGCAAATCAATTGATGGAATTGTACAAGAAATTGCCCTCCTTTTTTTTTAAAGAAAGCAATAATGTTGCTATTGCATCAATTTGTTTTCATTTCAGTACAAATCTAAAAAAATAGTTTTTATGCAGAATGACTAAATACTTTTTTAGCTGTTAAGAGATATTTTCTGATCTAAAAGTCTGATGGTCATTCCATACTTAAACATAACCTGATATCATCAGTCCTTCAGTGAAGAGGAATTTGTTGCACTAAAAGTCATCCATAACATCAGCAAATAAAGATTTTTTTTTCTTGTTGTCGTGGTATGAGTGATTTCCATGAAGGTGAAGAAAATTGCCTGCATTCAGTATCAAATACTAGATTATTCTGTCAAGAATAGGATGCTATCTGAATCTATGTTACTCTTATTTAGTGTACAGTGCATTGTACAGCTATGGCTTTGTGTGATGCTGTAGAACCAAAAAATTGGATTGAACACACTTCGTGTTTACTGTTATAGTGCTGTTACTGTTACAGTGTACATTTACTGTCTGCTAAACTGATTACATTAAAATTATATGCAAAAACCAATGAGAAAATAGTCTAATTCTCTAAATTACATGCTTTAAAACTAGGCTTTCTTAATTTGCCTCGGGGATGTGAAGTAATCAAATTGCTGTATACAGTTAATTTACCGATCTTAGTTTTTTCACGTGGAGCCATAAATAATACTTTCTAAAGTAATTATTCTTGAATACCTTTTGTCTTTTTTACAGTTGAGTTTGAGGATCCCTCTGTATGTACATACTTGCAATGATTTCTGCAGAGAGGTTTGAAAATAAGGTGTGTGCAGCTGGTGGAAATCAAGTCTAGTTAACAGCTGGCAATGATGGACGGGTGGGGGGGGTGGGAATCAATTTTCTTGAATGTAAAAGTCTTGGGAAAGGCACCACTTTTTTTCTGGGAAGCTAGGTAAACATTCCTACTAAGAGTTAGGGCTGGAATGAATTTCTAGTAGATTCCTGTGAGTACATTGTGTGCTCGGACTTTCTAGCTGCCTAACCCAACTAATTCTGAGCGTCTGTTATTTTAGAAGCAACACGTGCAACGACAAAAAATAAAGTTTGGAGTTTGTGCAGTTTGGGTACCTTCCCTTGTCAAAAAAAAATGCTGTAGCATAGTAAGAGTTACAGGTAGACCATGTTTAACCTTATTAAAACGGGCTAGCTTCGGCTCACTATTAGGCATTTCTGAGCAGTGACTGTAATTCAGGTTATGTGATAGTGGGTGTAAGGCTGCCACACAAATTGCTGTGTTTCCATTGCATTCATCCATTGACATTTTTTTAACCCCAGCCCTATTATCTAAGCTTGCTCTGCATCGGAAAGAAAACTACCAACATGCTTAGATTCCAAATTAATTCTGTTACTTCAATCAAAGCATTGTTACTTTCTTGGTTTTGTCCATGAGCTCACTGGTTTCCAATGTATTTTTCCAACACCCTCTCTCGCTGCCGCCGCCCCCCC